TTCTAAGCAAGTCGCACAATGATTGCATAGCATGGGAATAGGTTGAAAGCAAAAACAGGAGGGGACGAATGAGGAAAAATATATAAAAAATGAATGGTAGATGACTCATGAACATCTGTTATCAAACTCTGAACTGATCATTTCGCACAAATGATCAATGCAGCGAAAACCGTGCCCCCTCTAATGCTCGATTAGCAAACAGAATTTCGCGACGTAGCTGTATTAGACACTGACAGCGAAATTCAAAATTAAAAAAATGACTTCCACACAAAAATTTTACTGCAGCAAAAGTGACTTATCCAGACTAACTAACTAACGAGTTTGAAGGAAATCATGTATATGTATGTAACGATGAAGGTTTTTTAAGCTTCTAAAAATGACCTGCTCTCACATGGTAGCCACACCAGCGAAGAGAGCATTTTGGTGCAATAATGCGAGCGATGCTAATAAGGTGGGAGAGCACATTCAAAGAACTTGTGCAAAAGTGGGATTAACGCATTCCCAACTGAATTACCATACTCAAAATTGGTTCACCCACACGGAGCTCTTTCCTGCCTTGAGGACTGGGTGTTTTATACCTGTCATACATTGCTCATATATTTCTTCGATTTTTTTCGTGATGGACGACATTTAGAGCAGAAAGACGAAAAGACTGTGACGGGCAGTTTTGTTGCCATGTCCATGAGGGAAATTCCCGGGTACACGGATCAATCCCGTTGTGCAAAAAAAAACGTTACGAAATACAGTACTCAAAACCAAGAGTGCATTACTTTCCCTAAGCTTCTATAATAATGTGTCGCGATTTGAAATGCGTTTGGCACTCTTTAAAAACAGTCCCTTTCTGCAAGAGCCCCCTTACCTATTTTCACAGCCTCGCTTAGCCAGGTACTTGTGACAACTGTATGATGCCCTATAGCTGGTTAGCGCTCATACAATAAATCTCACATTCGATCTATGAAGTTCGCTCTTGAGAAACTTTGAGCGCCGAAGACGGGGTAAATGATGTCGGTTTCTTAAACCGTGTCATTTCTTTTACCTTCTAACTAAACTGCATCCTTGAATTACTGTGACCTCTTACATTCAAACTGTTAACCATAAAAACTGGTTCATTCAGGACGGACCCTTCACCCCCTAAACATTCATTCACTGAATTACCCTTTGTTCACTCCCACATTTCAACATCGAGGCCGCCGCTTTTCTTTATCTGTCTGCGCTCTGGCCTTTCACGGTAGGACCTGGCAGGAGGTGGTCACGCAGTCCTGCATCCTACACACTGCATAGAACGACCGATCGATTGCCCAAGCGCTCTCTCGTGTCCCTTTCACAGCTTCTCTCACCAAATATGTGCGTTAACCAACAAACACAGCACCAGTTACAACAGATGACAGAACGTTAACAACCACCAAAAAACGCCAGAGTGGCCACACTGGTTGCGATGTCAAATCTGTACCTATTAAGCAGCAAGCCTTGTGAAAAGCTCCCAACAGTACTCGCGTTGTGCAAGAGCTTAAGAACTCTTTCTTGACTTTTTTTCACAACTCAGCAGCATAGTTGTGATAACTTTCGGAACGTGAAGTGCGGCACTAAAGACCAGTTATCATGTAAAATCTACTGCTGCAGTGAGAGTTCCTTTTGGTTTGTGCGTGCAGAAGCTTGTTAGATGGGACACTTATTCGAGCCTCAGTTCCGGCAGAGTTTCGACCGAATATTCGCTTTCAAGAGACCGAACAAAAGTTCCACTGTGACCTACCTCACCAGATCTCTCATTAGCTCTGTTTCACAACTAACAATGCCGCGGTTGCTTATTGTTCAGTGAAGGAAAAGCTGGAGTGTTGAAGTCTGCCTCTATTAGGAGAATTGCAAAATCATACATGAGTAGTACCAAATATTCTGCTCAAGTTATGTTCCCCATGAGCCCATCTCAGTGTTACTTGCCAAGTTGGGAAATATTCTATCATTAAAGTGTTTCTCAAGGAAAAGAAACCGTAGCGCATAACCAGTGCTCACCAATAAATGAAAGGAAATTCAGAGACCTCACAAACTAACCTTGAAACATCCTGGACATTTAACGTCCATAAAATAACTGTTAGGATGCTGTACAAGTCGTTTCAGCTTATGGCGCTGACGCTCAGTTTCTGGATCGGGGTGCAACAGATCGATAGCCAAAGGCATGATTCGTCCTAGTCGAGCTGGCTTTGCTAAAACAAAACAAAAAACATTACCCTTAGTAAGAAAAAGCAAACCTATCACCTGAAGATTGAAATCAAATGCGAACGAAAGGTACCAACTAGCACGGGGACGTAACACAGCAGTGAATGATGAGAATACGAAAAATCAGTGCACTTTGTATGCGGCGTAATATTGCACAACCAACGGCAACACGCAGACAAACGTTTCGAAATCGCGGGAAATGCGAAAAATAACAATAATCAGCAGAAGCCTACTTTACCAGACCGAAACCTTGCTCTTAAAGGCTGTAAAAGATGAGCGAAAACGGGACCCTTTCTTCGAACCGAATAAAATGACCTACTCAAATCTTTCCATGAGCTTAGTTTTTTGTGAGAAACATTCGCATAACAAAACCTGATTTTTGGTAAAATACTACACCGGGACATGACTCAAGAAAATAATAATAAAACGAAATTCTCAAATAATTCCTTGTATTAATAATACGAAAATAAGTGAAACTACGTATCGTCGTGGTTAAAAGTCGACGCGCAGTTAGCGTTGTGGGACCACTTGGCAACTTGCCCATGGGCGAAGACTATGATCCGCGCAAATTACGGTCTCGAAGAATATACCACAAATTCATAGTAAAAATCCTTTTCAAGTTCTCAAAAACTGAATTAGGTTTTCTCACTTAAGGATAAACCATTAGGTGAAGTGAGGATGTGACTACTAAATGGGTGTTGTTTGACGACGCCTGTGAAGTGTTGTGTTTTTACTAAATTAGATTGTTTTGGTTTGGATGGTTTCTAATCAGTCACAAAGGATTTGATTGATTCTCAACTAGCAGTCACGTGCAGCATTATCTCGAAATGCGGATTTCTGTTGATCCTTATTTGCTCGTTGGAGTCATTCTAGAGCAAGTGCTTGTTTTTTTTTCATATCTCCTTTGCCTTCCTTTTATGGGGGTTTCGCAAGTGTTCGCAAGTGTTCTCTCTCGAGGTTTGTTCACTATGATGTCATGATCAACTGCCACGAAATGTTATAATTTTCATGTGGTTCGGTTTCAAGTTTCAGGGATGGCGCAGATGTTGAAGAGGTCATTTTCTGTGAGCGCCACCGCTTTCTCGGGTCTCGTCAAGGCTCCCGCGCAGGTAATAAATCTTCATGATAACCTCCCTACAGTGATTAAGATTACTGCCAAATTTATTGCGCTCCATGTTTTGTAAGAACCCTCGTGAGATTTTCTTTGAACGTCAACTCAACTCTTATACGTTTCTTCAGTGAGCAGTAGAGGCTTAAGTCTTAGACTTCTCTCTATATATCCGATGATCTCGCACTTCCAGAAAGGTTAGGTAAAGCCTTGAATTTTATCGCCCTTTAATTCCATTTTTATTGTCGTCATGCGCCACTGTAAGGCCGCGTTCATAGCTTGCGTTCGTGAAGAAATGCAGAAATGCCGAAACTGCAGAAGTGCGGAAAGTGCAGAAATGACGAAAAGCATTACATACGTATCGATTTGAAGAAATGCAGAAATGCCGAAAGTGAAGAAATGCGGAATCTGCAGAAATGCCGAAAGTGAAGAAGTGCGGAATCTGCAGAAATGCCGAAAGTGCGGAATGTGCAGAAAAGCAACCGATACGTATCGATTTTCCGCACTTTCGGCATTTCTGCATTTCTTCAAGTCGATAAGTATCTATTGCTTTTCTGCAGATTCCGCACTTCTGCACTTTCCGCATTTCTGCATTTCTTCACGAACGCAAGCTATGAACGCGGCCTAATTTTACAGCCACTGGGGTCGTTATATAACTTCAGGAGTTGCCGCTGTGGGTATGGTCTCCTAAAGTTTTGCCCAATTCCTCTCCTTCTCTCTCTCTCTCTCTCTTTCTTTTCTTTCTTTCTCTCTCTCTCTCTCTCTCTCTCTCTCTCTCTCTTATAACTGGTTTGAATGAATCGGGCATGGCCCATGCACCGCATGCATTTCAGAAGCTGTATTACAGGTTCCAGAAATAGTTGCTGTGTAAGGCTGGGTCCATATATTACGTCGGGGTTTTGATCAAGTGTACGTGTCGACCTAGCGTGTGAGCATATTGGGCGTTTTGTTCAGACGCTAGCTTTTGTTCCAGAACGCTCAGAGCTCTTGATCGATACCTATAGTTTCCTTTTCGCCCAAAACACTCAAAACGTCGACAAATGTGTAAACGCTGCTCAGAGAGATTAGAGAAAAAGAGAGAGTCACATTAAGGTTCATGGTATCGAAGGACGCTATGCATCTGCCCTCTACTCTGCTGCCTATAAACAGAAGAGTCTCGAACAGGTGGACAAGGATCTTCAGAAAATCCGATCCATCTATCAGCAAGATGCCAGCTTTAGAGTGAGTGCTGCTGTTCCTGCTTCTTGAAAGCGTGTCGCTGATTTTTCCTTTTGAGGAGTTCGTTCTCAATCCCACTCTCAGGGGACAGAAAAAGAAGGTTGTTACTTTGGAAATCGCCAAAAAGCTCGGCTTGGCTAAGGAATCGACTAACTTCCTTGGTAAGTATTATACTTCCCTACGTCTCTCTGCCTCTCACACGTGCCATTGTTTTTTTTCTGATTTCCGCTGTCCGTCGTACCTGCGGATGAAGGGCGCGTCAAGCTGGATAGCCGCTTTAGCGATTGATGGGAAACGAGTTCGACGTCGCGCAAAACCCATGCCGCTTGACACGCCCCTTCTTCCGCAGCGAACAAGACTGTAGTTGCGGGTTATTGTTTCTTAACTTTCCTGACAGTTATTTCCTTTCATAGGTCTGCTTGCTGAGAATGGTCGTCTTAGCAAATTGGAAGCAGTCGTTTCATCCTTCGAACATATAATGAGAGCTCACAGAGGAGAACTTTTTGTTCAGGTGCTTAATTTTTCGTAGATTTGCTAGTGTTTCTAACGATTGTTCTGATTTTCTTCCCCTTTCAATTCAAACTATTCGGTGAGAAAGTCTCTAATTCAGAGGGGACCTTGCTTGTTGATTTATTCGTAAGAAAATTCAGTGTCGTGACCACCTTTCATCCATGGTGACGCTCTAGACTGAACCTCTGACCAAGTCTCACGAGTCCGCTCTTAACGATGCGCTTAACAAGGTTAGAGTTCAGCATTACCGGATCGATTGTTGTTTTTCAACTTCAACCATTCTTTCCTTGTGCTGATACCCCTTTTTCAGATGGCAAAATCTGGGCAAAAGTTGAATGTGACTTACACTATCAAGCCGTCTATTATGGGTGGTCTAGTTGTAACTATAGGAGATAAGTACGTTGACTTGTCGATCGCGTCTCGTGTCAAGAAACTCAAGGAAGTTATTATTGCCTCTGTTTAAGAGTAGTTTTGTAGAAGTTATAAAGTTGTAGAGCGATATGAATACTGTACTTCTCATGTCTTTGCAAGGGTTTTATGTTGTGAACAGTCTGCATATAGGTACGTGAATGCACCCAAGTGTTTGTTGAAATTGCTTTTGTATCGATATAGTTCGGGCCCGCTCTGGTGAGGAAATACGCGACCACAGGAAGAGTTGCAACTTAACAGAATTGGCCAAGAGGATTAATCTGAGCCGCGTCGTCCATACTGCATGCCCGTTGTTTAGTGATGTGTGGTGAATCATCGAGTTTAAGAATGCTGAATTGGTGATGACTGCATAATTTCCGAATGCTTATGTTTGGTTTGCTCCATCCTATTTGTACGTCTCTCAAAGAATGTCCCACAATCAAAAATGGTGGGTGGTGAGGCTAAAATAAGGATGTTAAGGTGGTGATCAAAATAGCTCCTAGTTTTTTTTGTTTCGAGTGACGAGCGACCCGAACAGGCTAGTTGGGACTTTAGCCTGGTGATCTGCTTCGTTTTCCAACAGTGGGCGGGGCCTCTACGAATTGGGCGGAGCTCCCCAGCTGCTGGGAGGGGCAGTGTCGAGCAGTCCAAAAATGGGAATATTTTGAAAAAGGATTAGAGCTCTGCAAAAAGCCGCAAAATAGATGCGGATCAGGGGACGGAGCTTAGTATGGTATGCGGGGTTGGCCACGTGTCGATGTACAGTCCTTTTCAGTCAGTGTGTATGTGCGAAACAGCAAAAGACAAGGTCATAGAGGCAGCAGTTAAAGGATAAAGGATAAAGTCTTCGCCGTTGATCAATCCCTTTGTGGGATGCGGCACGCATTCTACTTCCATTCAGAATCGTAGTGGCTTATTGAATGCGATGTGGCCTATACAATGACTTGCGGTGGCCAGCCGATGTACAAGTCAGTGTTTATCCTCCCAGACGAATCTGGTACCAATTTACCGTCCCCGGAGGGTAGAAGGCTTGGTTGGCCTGGGCGGGAGTCGACCCGGGATTTGAACCCAGGACCGCGCGAGTGGTGAGCGCGCCACTTGTCACTACACCACCTCCTGCCCAGGCGGCAGTTATGAAACGAAATTTGAAAAGATCGCGCTGATAAGTAGGCGTGGCCGTCGAGGCGGGGCTCACGTTTCCACTGCGGATTTGTCTAGTCTGGAGAGGGGGGTGAGTTTGCTTTGGAAGCTGTTGGATCCCTGCTTCTGGTTGTCTTCGGGGGTGTTGATAAGACGATTTGCACTGCACGGTTTATCCGGCGAGTGCACCACACAAAATTCTAACAATCCTACCGCTCACCTCTCTTAGAATAGGACCACAAGAGAGGTGTCCAGTATCAAGTTTTCAGAGTTCATCCCTCTGATACAACAGGAACTGGTGATTTTGGTCCGAAAAAGAGATTTCGCTTCGAGAAGCGGTGATTATAGTTCGAAAAGTGGTGAATTTCAAGCGAAAATGGTATAGCTCCTTCAGTGGATCACCACTGTGCACCTATGATTAGTGCGTACAACGCAATTGTTGTAACTTGAACAAGAAGGTGCTCGTCAGGACGGACTTGTGGCAGGAGCGCGCAGGCCGTCATTACCTTCACATCGTCACATAATCTGCACAGGACAACTCTCATAAATCGCTCATGATCCGTGACGACGCCAATAACCTACTCTGATAAAATTGGTAGGCTTTTGCAATGCAGTTACACATCTCTGCTTGTCTAGGTTCGAACAGTCCTCAATCACTTTATTACAAAGAGAGTGTGTCCAAAGTTCTAAATAAGATGCAAACAAGTCCAAATAAGATACAATCAAATATGTGGAAGACTCTTGAAGATCAACAGGAAACAGAACATGAGAAATACAGTAACAGAAAACAGAAATCACACGATCAGTCATATCACCAGTCGGTCACATGCAGCTGATCGACGGACCAATCTTCAAATGAGCCATCTGGTAGATATCGTCGAACAATGATTGGGATACGGCGATGTTTCAGTTCTTTGCGAGCAATTTCCAATGGATCTGTTTCTAAAAAAGTATATATACATCTACTTATTAAAATTACACTCGTTATACACTAGGCACAATTTCTATGAAACGCGCATTCTGAAGGAAAAAAGTTTAGCTATGAGATCATTCATTAGTCCCCTCGCAGCTGTCTAAATATTGAGTAATATCATAGTATCGTAATATCAGTATAGTAATATCATCAAATATCTACACTCATCTCCATGGTTTCCATGAACTGCGTGAATGAGATCACAACTGCAGAAGCAGGCCATTTTTTCCACTAGAGAAGGCGGAGGAATGGGTCTGGAGATGTAACACCAGAGTGCTGCGCCCGCGCTGCTGCCACGCGCCTGACTATAGCCTAACGCGTAACTTGTCTGCACCCTCTCACTTCTAATTGTTCTCTACCTCTTCAGCTGCGTTCATGTACAAGGTTCCGTGAGTCCGCAGACCACAGAATGCATAAATCTGCAGAAGAAGGATACATACATAACGATTGGAACCGATACCGGATTGATATCGAATTCCGCGGAATCTCCAGAAAAGCACAGATGAATTTCGCTGCTGCTTCCAACATCGTGCACTCTGCGGAGTCTGCAGATTCCGCGGAACCTTCGGATTCATCAGATCGATACGTATACATTCTTCTTCTCCAAATCCCGCACACTGCGCGGAATTTTTTGCATTAGCACAGCCTGACCACACGATCGCTGCGAGGTTTTATTATCGACGTAGGCGCTGTGTCTTGAGAATAGCGCGGTGGAATCGAGGAGACAGCACTCGGGCATCACTACTCTTCAGCACCATTTTCACAGGGTACAACATTGTTGTGTGAAACACATAGGGGAGGTCGTACTTTTCGGCTGGGGAGGGGGGGGTCGTATTTGGTCGTTGTTGGGAGAGAGAGGAGAGGCCGTATGTGGCTTTGATAGAAATTTGCCGCGTTGGGAATAAACTTTTCCCTTTAATGACTTTTTGCGGTTTTTCCCGTTTCATGTGTACTATTTACCCCCCCCCCCCTCCTCTCTCTCTCTGGAAATCTGAAAAACTGGAAAATGTGGGGAAATTGGTAGGTAGGAGCGAGCGAAAGAGGGTCGTACCATGGCTCTCCCTCAAGAGGGGGAGGGTCGTACCTACACCATCACCTCACACGTCACGATGCTGTACCCGTAGTTTGCCTTTGACCAAAATGACTAAGGTTGCTAAACAAAATAGTGGGCAGATCTACGCCTACCGTAGCGATCTGCCGTCTGCTTTAAAACTGCGTTTTTATCGGAGATACTGATACGGAATA